CCGCATGTAGAGCGGTAACATAGTGGGGGTACTGAGCCGCATCTAGAGCGGTAACATAGTGGGGGTACTGAGCCGCATCTAGAGCGGTAACATAGTGGGGGTACTGAGCCGCATCTAGAGCGGTAACATAGTGGGGGTACTGAGCCGCACGCAGCGCAGTAACATATGAGGGGTACCGACCCACACGTGGAGCAGTAATGCAGCAGGGGTACCGACCCGCATGTAGAGCAGTAATGCGACAGGGGTACCGACCTGCACATAAAGTAGGTTGAGCTGCACAGGGTCCCTTGAGTCCACGTTCTGGTCGGAGTAGAAGAACTTGCGACGGAGCAGTAGGGTCTCGCTCTCCTCCACACCCTGCTCACGGAAGGTGCGGCTGTGGTCCAGCCAGTTCACTGTGACGAGAGTGAGGGCATTGACACACACCATCATTACTGTACAGTCACTACTGCCCGAACCGGCCCCAGTCACCACCACACCGTCTGTCCTCTCTCTGCCTGCAATCCCATGTCCTTAACTACAGCTCCTCATCAATTTCTTAAGAGTGCTGCTTCTGGTAACTCCTTAAAAACAACATCCGTCTCAAGCAGGGAGTAGCTGGCCCACACAGGACCAAACCTGATTATTACATGAATCCTTTTGCAAATAATCCAAGTTTATTGCTCCCATCGGTACCAAACAACCAGGAGCATATAAGAAATCTGGGGGCATTTCTGAGCTCCGCGACCTTGCTCGTGGTGAAGTCATCAGGGGAACAGCATGCCGACAAAGCCAGCAGCGAAGGGTTAAACCGCGTGCGTGCCGAGTTGGAGGGTTCGGCCGTAACTGCAGGTGCAACAAGCCGCTGCTTCCCGATCACTCCCCAGGACCTCCACGTCCCGCCTTCTCCCCTATGTGCCACCTGCCCTCAGGACTCACGGTCGTCGTCGGTGTGCAGCTTGGCCTTCAGCTTCTCCATCTTCCTCTCGTCCCTCAGCAGTGTCCGGTCCTTCTTCAGCGTGCCGGTGCCATCCTCCCGCTTCTCTTCCACCGTCTCCTGGATGAGGGAGTACTCCTCGTAGTTGGTGATTCCTGGAAGGGAGGACGAAAGAATTTAGGGGATGGAGGCAGGTCACCACGGACGGGATGAGCTTTGGGGCCGGATGACGACTCTGGCGGCTGGTGATTAGAGGGCGATTCGGAGGGGATGCCACCTCGGGTGCCATCCTCTGAGGGGGCACTGATCCTCCCCAGCTCAGTATGGCAAAATGTATGGCTCCGGCATCGGCTTGGTGACGCGAATGGGCTGTGTGAATTCACATTAACAGCACAGTCAGGGAGCTCTTAGGTCCCTTTGCTTAGCTGATCGACCAACAGCAGTTCAAGCTCAGATTTCCAAACACTCATCTAAAAATGATTAGGAAAAAACTAAGCAAAGGCTTAGACACTCGCAGAATAATACGACCACTTCACCTGCAGTAATATCTCCTCCATGCTGATGGGCAAGATGTACGACGACAGGGCCGCACGTACCGATTCTGCTGCAGATGGTGACGAGGAGCTCGCCCACCGTCTTAGAGTCATCCACCATGATGGTCTTCACTGCGCCGTCAAGCATTTTGATCTTCTGTGGTCTCTGCTTCTTCTTGTACTCCAGGATGTCCTGCGGGGGGCGGCAGTGAGCACGAGTCAGACAGGCGTGCACGCACGCACGAGATACAGCGTAATGATTCATTCCCATGTGACTAATCCTCCTCATAAAGATGTCGCCGCGACACAGCCACCTCCGGAACGCTGACGCTCGGGATTTCCCAGGCGGGACGGCAAGCCAGGAGCAGTCTACAGGTCTACAGAGGCTGAGCTGTGTGTACGACATGAAACATGGCGGCAAGACATGAGTCTGAGAGCAAGGAGAGGTCAGGTCTCCGTTACCCCATTGCGGAGCATGTAGTAGTCCAGCGTCCTGCCCGATTCCAGCCAGATGCCCTTCCGGGGGTCGTCGTCGGACAGGAAGAGGCCATAATCTGAGGCTAGAACACAAGACAAGAGGTGGGAGAGTCGGTCGAGGTGTCGTGTGCTTTCAAAAAAATGTTTAACCCACTTTGAAACGCGACAGCGACCGGGAAGTTCATCGTACAGATGATTCACTAAACGGATGAAAGGCCTGCTGGTTTCGGAGGGATTCCATGCTTAGAATGCAGAGTCGGGGGCACAGACGGGGGGTGTATTCACAGAGGGATGTGTAAACGCATCAGTGTTCGTTACGGAAGCTGCCGTTCACCCGGTTTACGCCTGAGATGAGCCTGGAGGCGGCATTTCACTGCAAACAGGCAGAGCGCGTCAGACACACTGCAGTGCAGCTGCAGCCTCACTGCGAATGCGGGGGGCTGAATGGGCGGCAACACTCGCTGCCAGTCACGCTTTTGGGTCACTTCAACATCTGGCACATTACATTTACAAGCAAAAACATTAATTTATCCAAAGCAATGTACGTTTTTGAGATATGAGAGTCAGCCAGCCTCCAGAGCAATTGGGGTTAAGGGCCTTGTTCAGGCGCCCAACCGTGAAATCATCCTGCTGACCCTGGGATTTGACCCGCCGACCTTCCTATCACAGGCACAGTGTCCTAACCGACTGAGTCACGCAATATCCCCCAATAAATCAGTACGCATGACTGAGGGGGTTCGACAGTCCTTTTTAATAGTTATGTTCCAGTAACATGGTGTAACTGGGAGGTCGAGGCCATCGTCAGGCTGCTGAAACGCGTCACCGCAGGCTGCTGAAACGCGTCTCCATCTGGCCAAAGGCTGCACAGCTGGTGTACAGCTGGCCTCACCTCCCCCCCCCCCCCACCACACCCCACCCACCCTGTCCGGTCTGGGCTTCCGGGACGCGTTCCCTGATGATGCGGCAGGCGTCGTAGACCGCCGTGGACGGCTCAAACTGCATCGTCTTCACCACGTTGCACTGCCGGACGCAGATCTTTAGCGAGAGGGCCACCATCTTGGCGGGCGGGTGGGGGG